ATTAGCTGGCGAGACAGCTGCAGATATTGGGTGGCGATCAACGCCAAATCTAAAGTTTCAGCAGGTCACCAGCGATGTACGGAAACCGGAAAGTCCGAGACACACACGTCCTCGTCGTTCATTTTGGCACCAGACAAAGAAATTTGTCAGGCGGTTCCTTTGTTGTTGTTGTTGTTCTATTGACAAGATAGACCAGTAATATGTATATTATAGAGTTTAAAAGGTTTTTAAACATCCCCTCCTCTCCCACCGTCATCTCACTTTTGTGTTCGCTGGTACTATTCTGAAACCGTTTATCATGTCCTCCATTGTCATTTGTACCAAGTTAGTGTAGGTTTTCCTCACGTATTTCATGCACTGTACGTCTGTACCATAGTCGGCTCTTTGCCACCTGTTTTGTTCTGTATTAATTAAATTAATATTATTAATATTATTATGTTACTCATATTAAACGTATTATTATAAAGTATGTACTATGTATTAATACCTATCTATTATATCTACCTCATTCGCTTTGCATAAATATATGTAATAATCCTATATGGTCACGCAGGTGGATATTGTATTGTCATGGATGTCATCGATTTTCATGATAGTAAAAAAATTAAAAATTATCTATACTAGAGTGATTGACAAATGATTTACTTCACCTTCCGTTTAACCACCCCAAAATCAAGCCATGTACGGGTGCGCATAATATTATATGAGCGATATATTATAAGTCCATGCCTCTCCGTTTCGATTACTTACGAATTATATTATAGTATTTACCTATTCGCAAACAGCTCCGTGTTATATGCCTGCGGATAATGTTATTTGTTCTGCATCGTGATATGGAAATAACCGAATACACACTGAAATAAACGTGCAAGTGTGCAACCATGTAGACGTCTCTGCGGCAAACACCACGTCGTAAGTTTGAGCTTCAGTGGTAGGTAAACATTAATAGGTACTGTTAAAAATCGTGAGTAGTACTTAGAAGACTCTCCAGGAGTGTTATTAGCACACTCCACACATAGAGTCGGTATATTATACTGTAATACTATATAGGTGATCCGAGTTCTAATGTTGGACTCGATGGCGTATAATTGTACACCCCAATTTTTTGTATACAATAATATTTATTAAAATTAATATACATATCATCAGCCTAATTCGCAGTATTGTCCTAACTCCAAAAATGTGATTTTGGAATTAATTGTGATTAAAATTAAGGAAAAAACTGCATTGTATGATAAAGTTGTAACTGATAAATTGTAACATTTTATCCTCCATATGACATTGATTATTAGAAATGGTCGTATCTCCGATGTGATGATTTTAACAACTAGAAAAAATCATAACTCCATATTAGCATGGTAAAAATTATGAAGATAGGATATTTGCGAATTGAGAGATGAGATAGGAAATTTTCCGATGAAATGTTTTTCCTTTCTCCTGAAAACTAGTTAATATGGAGTTAAGTGATTTGCAAATTAAGATGACGATAATATCTGATTTTTAGATGTTTTTAAATATAATTGAAGACCATACATTTAGAACTTTTGAGATTTTCTTATTGCATTAGAAGTGTCCTTGTGGCGATATAAACTTCCGTTTTTAAAATGCTTCCATTAAGAAGAACTTGAACGCTTAGACATTTTAGTTTTAAGTACAAAAGATATCCAAACCTATCTTGTACCGACGACTATGGAGTATTGGTTGACATACTATTATTTATCTTGAGAGTGATGAAACAGACAACTCACTGGATAGTTGACGTTTCTGCGGAAAACACAGCACAGTATACGTTTGATTACGACCAAACGCTTCGGCGGTAGGTAAATATTAATACTGCGCCTAGTTAAAAGTCGTAAGTTATAGTACTTACACGACACGTCAGGTGTTATTTGCAGACTCCCCACATAGAGTCGGCGTACTATATTATTTTTATATACATTATATTATATTATTTTTTATACATTATATTATATTATATTTATATAAATTATATTATATTATATTACATACAATATTATCTTTCTATGTTAAATTTATTCTGTCCTATGTAACTACTAACTAGTAGAGATTAGTATTTATTATTGTATTGGTTGCCATTGGTTAATCGAGTAGAGCAGGTACAATCATGCATCAAATCGAATTTTCACACATCGCCTACCAAGGAGACTGAGTAAAACTTTCTGCAGCGATAGTTACACCCCAAAGGAGTTGAGCAATCACAATTTAATTTTAAGAGCTGTCATTTTTTACAGGAAACGAAGTTCGTATGATCAGCTAAGTGATCCAAGTTATATTGTGGGGCTTGGAGACACACCGCCATTTTCTTCACACAATAATATTTATTAAAATTAGTATACATGTATACATATGTATTTTAATATGTATTTTTCAAATATACTTGAAGACCATCTTTTAGAATTGTTGACATTTTTGTATTAGATTAGAAATGTCTTGTGACAGTACAAACTTCCGTTTTTAAAATGCTTCCATTAAGAAGAACTCGAAAGCTTGGAAATGTTATTTTTAAATATCCACCTCTCTTGCACCGTCGACTATGGAGTATCAGTCGAAATAGTACTATTTACTTGAGAGTGACGAAACAGATAACTTATTAGAGTCACTAACGCATTTGAGTCGTACACGCCAAGTAAATATCCTCTGCGCCACGCACCAGTCACATCGTTGTTAGTCGTTACTATGAAATAAAACATGTTTGAATACATTTTCAAACAATCTCAATACCTACATTATTCGAATACTGTAGGCACTGTTTGTGCAAGACTAATGACGACCGGTAACCTGGTTTGAGAGGTTATTATTGAAACGTGTCGGTCGATCTTTGACGATACTTCATTATAATATCCAATAAGTGATATATTATTTTTGTTCCGCGTTGTGGCAGTGGCCCGTCCGACCGTGATATTGGAAAAATAAAACTTTGTCCGTGACCATACAATAAATATATAAATATGTATTATAGAGATTAGGTTGTGTATGGTGTGGCTAAAAAATTTATCATAATATACAAAACAGAACGATAAATGTATATTATTATATAACGCAAAAAAAATCCCGTACCGAATGTATTAGATCGATATGGTTAGAGCGCAAAATATTTCTACCGTTTCATCCTACCTCGACCGCACATTAAGCATTCTTTTTGTTCTCAACTGTATATTATATATTATTATTATTATTATTATTATTAATATTATTGCGACGATAGAAAAAAAATGTTCCGCTGTGAGTATCGATTTTTGGCCAACTCTGTCTTATAAATTTGTAAATTTTTAAATTTTTAATGATATTGAATGAGTCCACTATAAGTTTTTACGTATTACTAATAATGTTTTAAAAATTCCTCAAATACCTCATAACTACTCAATAGTATCAAATATACTTAACCTTTCCGAGTTGGATCAGCAAAGACGAACTGCTGGTATTAGATTTATTTAAAGACTGTTAAGAGGCAAAGTTGAATCCACTGATATTGTTTCGCTAATCTGTTTTAAGGTAGCCTAGAACCACCGATCCTTTTCATGTCCCCTAAAAACTATTTAGCTAATGAACCACTAACAAGGTTAATGTCGAACGCCAATGTGGAGTGTGGACCCTCATTTTTGGTTTAAAAGCTTATTCATCTATTTAGTTCATGAATAATATATTTAATTATGCATGTACTCAATTACCTTTATAATTTTCTATCAATACAAAATATGTATTATGAAAAAAAGACTCCAGCCCATTAAATTATTAAAAAAAAAATAATAATGGTAAGTACTTACAACTAGTAAGTAGAAATTTTAAGATTATCGTCATTACAAGAGTTGTCTTACATAAATCACATAAATTGAATAACAAAATGAAAAAATAAATAATAATAATAATGTTATACGCACGTACCTCTTAACTCTAGAAATAAAATAATAAACATACTATTTAATAAATGTAAATGTACATTGATTGGTTACAAGAAAAATAAACTATTATTATCAAACTACTAAGCAATATTATACTTAATGATTCACAATCTAAGAAGTATAGGGGTGATATTATTCTTCTAAAAAGGATAGGAGGTTTTTTTATCGTGGAAAATCTGGCTGTGAACCTATAGCTGTATAGGTGACTCACGTGACCAGGTATGCGAGATGACCTGGCTGAGATTCTGGATGAATCGGTGGGAGGGTGCAGCAAGCAACAACCAAGGTATGATGACGATGAAATTACTGCACCAGAGCACGGAAAGAACCAAAAACTGATCGCTCATAGGCGTATGATGGCCCGAGCGTATATTTGAGAGCGGCTGATGCGTTCTATATAGTATATGTTTATGGAGGTATCTCATTAAATTGTGGTTTTATCTACCGTTATGTTGACATCTATACCAATTAACGACGGTAATACGTCAGAGCACTTTATCGCGTAAGGTGACTCAAGCAACTGGTCTACCTTTTCACGAGTACTGCACATCGACTCCACACCGTGATGACAACTGGAAACGTTATTATCACGGCTTTCACGATAAGTCGTTTATTCTATCACGCGATGCACACTATCGTGCATGTACGACAAACATACGCAACAGGAGTATTAGCAAGGCCAAGTATCATTCGGCTGAATTGACCGGTTATAAAATCTGTGAAGAGTTTCGCTCAGTTAGTGAGAGGAACTTTCGGCTGGTATCCATGCGGTATATCTAACACCGTAAATAGTTTATAACCAATACATTGTTCCAATAGGTGGTCTATGCTTGGTAGAGAACAAGACTGTGGAATAATTTGAGTATTCAATTTTTGATAGTCAATGATTATTGACGATATATATACGATGCTCGCGAGTTTTCTTCTGCACTAACAAAACTGGACTCATTTAAGCGGATTATGTATCCTCGGCATACCATTGAAGAGTCACTCTTGTACTATTTCTTTCATCTTTGCTCGTTTGATATCATCTGATTGTATTGGTTAGGAGAAAGATTTTTAAAAACCCGTGTAATAGTCTCAAAATGTTACCTTATAACAAAGTATATCATCGGTCATCATTTTCTCTTCACTGATACCATCGTTGCCCGCTGCAATTATGATCGTATCAGAACCTAGTACGTTGACCCAAGTGCAGAGCCCAGTTGGAATAACTACTTCCTCAGAAATTCTCAATATTGAATCTGAATCTTCGTTTGATAGGAGGTCATGGTCTGCAAACGGAAAATTAGTATTGTAAAATTTTAATTTACCATGATATTTGACAAAAGCGACATGAGGAGATTCACAAAAGGGTCTTCCAACGATGGATTCCCTTGGGTGACTTGTGTCCGATAAAATATAGATGGGTACTTTATCTAGCACGAAATTTTCAACATTCAGTTTAACGTCCGCCTTACCCAAAATGTTTGTTATGGCTTCAGCACAGGATCCTTGAATAATAGAGGTATCTTCTAACCATTGTAAAATTTCCTTTTCATGGTTACCCCCATCAAACATAATGACGACCCAGAATCTATTAAGCAATTTATAACTGGCATATCATTCAATGATACTTGTTTTAATGTAACGTTGTGGATTGAATTGTATCAACTAGCATACTATCATAAGAGTGATGACTTGGCTCAGTCGAATATTTTTTAATTAGCGAAACCTCTAGTTGTTTGCCTTGAAAATATTTAGCCGTATGCTCTTCTTTACTGCACTTGGAACAATGAAATGGTCTCTTCTTTATGCATTTTACACTTTATTTAAACAAAATAAAAAATGTTACATCATTTTTTTAGACCATTTTTAAACGTAATATATTTTTTCAAGATATTTAGGTCATCAAGTTCTGGGCCCTTATTATAACAGTGTTGTCATTATCAAACACGTAAGTACAGCATTTGACGCGTATGTTCACAGCCTATAGGTAGTCTGCAATAAGTTTATGTGTAAACACCTGTTATAAGTTTTGTTCAAACACGATGCATAATCAGCCAAATAAAATTAACGGCTTTTGTTATGAACGTGCAATGCGTAAATGACCTCAAAACTCTTTTCGTGGGTTATTAACAATAATTATTAGCAATAGATTGGAAAGTTAAAGTTTAGTTTACAGTTCATAAATAGAAAAAATTTCATTAAAACATCCATACATATTCCTTAATCGAGAACTGAATAAGATAAAAGATCTTAAGAAAATCATATCTCACAAATTAAAAGTGATTACGTACTTTTTTCAGCTGGAATAAAATAAAACTGTAGTTATTAATTATACAATATTCATAACATTATAACGCTATAAGGTAATGGATTCAACTAATAATTAAAAACAACATTTTTAAATTGTATAACTAATGGCTATCAGTTTTTTTTAAGAATCCTGAAAATTGAATGTAGGTTCTTAAAAAAAACATGTACATTAACTACATAAATTATATAATATGATTTATAGGAGTTATAAATGAACATTGGAGTCCTAAGCTATATACACATGTAAGATTTATCTAATACATATAGTATGAAATAATATTAAAACAACTTACTAACGTCAGCTTGAAATAAAATACCCAATAGTAATTTATAAGTATAATTATTAAGTATTTGCAATAATATTTTATGATTTAAGTGCATAATTATTTCTCAGTACTCTGTTTAGCGAGAGAAACCACCGGTTCTGCTTATCCCCCCGCGTCACCTTGTTTTCGAAACCGATTCCCCTATGACAGGTTGTGTAAACAGTTTTGGTTGGTGCGCGGTGCGTCCTCTCGCTGAACAGAGTATTGTGATTACTTATTTGTATGAAAAGTTCTCGGTAAATTACATCATTAACAGTAGGGGACCAATTTTGAAATCGAATAGTTTTTGGAAGACATAAAAATCAAATCTAAATTCGATCTCAATTGTTATTGTAATTTCATAGCTTATTAATAAATTATTTGTTTATTTATTATTTATAATATATTCTTTACTACTTTTTATTATACGACTATCATAATAACTAAACAACTCATAAAAATAAAAGGTTATAATATATTAATTAAGCACCGTATACACTATGCTCAAATGTGTTCCAAAAATTACAAAGATTTTAAATATTTTTAGGGAACATATAGAATTAAAAAAAAAGGTATTTTAAAGAGGTTAAGTTAGCTGGTTTGATTAGGACAATGGTTTGCACTTATCAAACCACACTGAAAATATTATAAAAGGTCAGTTATGCCTAATTATTTGACATTCGGGATCGGGAAAAATCACACTCGACCTAAATTTATAGCTTTTATAATGTTAAAATTTAAAGAGTGTCATATATTAGAAAATTGCATTTTATATGATTTCTAATTGATAAAAAAAATAATTTTGTAAAATAAATATACTGCTAGTGTAATTTACCAAGAAACTACCGAACAAAAATAAATTATAAAGATCAATTATGAAATAAAGACATTTTTTATACCATCACCTAGAAAATAAAATGTTGAATATTAATTAATAACAATATTGTTTAAGTATCTTAAAATATTAAATCGAATGCCTAGAAAGAAACAAGTACTGTCAAATATTAACATAATTGTTACCATCGACTTGTTTTGAATTTAACTATCAATAATCAATCATCATCATAACATGATGATGAACTGATTAAATAATAATATAATATCTACTTACATGCTAAAATATATAATATTTATAGTATAGTAATATGCATATGAACATTTAAGTCATCCGAGTATAAATCATTTCATAAGCTAGGAACCAAAAGAAGCTTTTTAAAAGAATTGAATTCTTCAGGAGAGTGTAAGAATGCAAAACACAATCGATTTTATTTGTATATAATTATGTGTTTTTATTCTCACGTAAATGAATTTTAATAAATAAATCAATGGTTGTACAATATTCTCTTTTGAACATTAATGCTCTTCGAGCTACAGATAGGTTTATTGATATTCAGATCAGATTTTACGTTTTATTAAATCATAAATGTTACAGTATATTCTTTTGTGTACATTAATGCTCTTCGAGCTACAGTTAAGTTTATTTATTCGGAGGAGAATATAAAGACTCACGTAGTAGGTAGTTGTTCTCCACGTAGTCGGCTTTTTGTCAACTTAAGCACACTCCTCTGGCACTGGCACGGGGTAGGGCGTAGTTGAGTTCTTCAAGTAGCGGCAGCGGTAATGGCCGCGGCGACTATATTAATAACGGCGGCGGTTCTTACAACAGTGATAATAATACCGGCGACTATAATAACGGCGGCGGTATTCGTAACGGCGGCGGTTCTTACAACGGTGATAATAATAATACCGGCGACTATAATAACGGCGGCGGTTTTCGTAACGGCGGCGGTCGGGGTAGCGACTCCCGAGAGATGTGGTATCTAGCCTGTCAATACGGTACACGTATTACTAGATACCACAAATCTATTACAGCTACGGGCCACTCCTCTGGTTTAGGTGTGTGCAGCTTGTTAATACGGAGTACGTATTACTGCACACAGTAAACTAGAGGAGGGTAAAACGGACAACGAACGGAAATTGGAATAACTGACTTTTCGTCTAATTAAACTCCGCGATACGAGACGAGTTTCGATACGATCGGATTTGAATTATTGAACTGGTGTTTTCGACCAGTATATCTGTGGTCGCGCGCCTTATGATAGTAGGTAGTACCTGGTTTCCATGTGTGTACATTATGATGATTTTCGTTAGTTTATGTATCTCTTTGAATGTGGGCGGCTGCAAGTCTTTTACAACAGGAATGATGATGAATCGGTTAATATGATTTTTATTACATTTGGAACTCTCGGATTTATACATATTTACACCGATTATCATTATCTAAGAGTGAGTGCACCCGCACGCACTCTAGGTAATTTATCATTACTTCTTGGTTACAACGTCTTATTCTGAACATTGTCATTACAGACTTAATAAGTTCCACTGGTAGTGTAGGCACTTTCTTTGCATAGTTACGAAGCTCCTGTGAACTTTGGTATAGTTCTACAACGTTTCAAAGTTATGATCGGTCGTACATGCTACCACGTGCATTACGCACGTCGCGCATGTACGCACTACTAGAGCGCGCGCGTTGTTTCGCAATCGACATAATTCTGTCTCGTTACAAGAGCCATTTAAAACGTTTAACTTTATTAAATTATTTTATAAACTATCACTTTTAATGATTGTAAAATCTATAGTTTATTTCATCACGTCGGTAGAGACTGTGAGCTGTAACATTTTAAATTTTTGGTAACAAAAAGGTTCTGTTTAAATAACTATTAAATAACAAACTGGAAATCATTTAACACCATTTGGTAACTAATAAAGGATTGATTTAAGAAATAAAAAGCATTAGTATAGTTCTTTAAATAATGGCCCTACATGAAAGAAAAGTTTCATAACTCATTTGAAAATAATATTCTGTTAACAATATCAGTAAGGATTCTGTTAATTATTAACAACTTATACATAGGTAACAATATAATGACATTTATAAAATATGTATAGTACTATAATTCCTTTAAGTCATACAAAACTTAAAGCATATAAAATAAAAATATGTCCACAGAAAATGAGTGGTTTATACAAGGAATAGATTTAAAGCGTATGTGCAATTAATTTTTTTCCCGGTATCTGAGTTTTATACCAATACTTTTACTTGATATTTTATCAATATTTCAGTCTACTATACTATTTTTCAAATGAGAACGCACCGCGTCGCGCATCGTTATCAGAGGCGGGACCACACACCACTCCCACAAAATTAGTAATTCTTTTCTAATTAGTCGCCATCGGTCGGGAGTGGGGAGGACGTGCGCGCGTTTTGACCGGTTTTCGTCCGCCACCCGGTGCGTTCTCATTTGAAAAATAGTATAGTTATAATTAATTTTAACCTCTAGATAGTGATGTTTCAGATGAACTGGTGTGGGGTTAGGTGCTACCTGTATGATGCGTACCTATAGGACCTAGAGTTATATTTGGCCACGATTTTCCTCCAATTTCTTGTGTGGCGATTCGGTTAGGTTAGAAAATTAGAGAAACTAACCCCAGCTTAGAGAATTGGTTGTATGTATATTTTAAATATTTCAAGTTAAACGGATAATGTAATTGGATTTTTGTAGAGTAGCACTGTGTACAAGGAAGACCGGGCTATTTTAGCTCTGGTCAATATTGAAATAATAATATGTTAGCCTATGTTGAGTAATCAGATGTTTGGGACTTGGTTAGTTTCTTGGTAGCCTTGAGAAGAACCACTTTAGTATATATTTGTATAAACCGTTACAATATACAAATAAAAAGATAATTTAAAAAAAAAAGACTATTTAGCACCTATTAGTTCATAGTACATTAATTTCGTTAATATAATCGTAAAAATTAACAAAAAAAAAAATAACAAACTTCTGATACAGTCAATAACATAATATTTACGTACTTATTTTCACTAGAAAAATGAATTATTACTAATATAAGTTATAAAAAATTATTATTACTCAAGCTTCATTATGAATAATTATG